CTCCTCCGGTCTTCTCATGAGAGCTGATGCTGTCTAGAGTCCTTGTTTCCTCTCTCTGCCCGTTTCTCCTGAGCTTCCTCTCGCACCATCACAACGCCATAATGTGATCACATGTGATACTTCACTTTGTTATCAGTCCGTTGCCTCCAACGCCCTGCATCTGAGGCTGAGCATTTCAAGAGGGTTCCCTCTGCCACTGTCAATTCTACACACTCAGTCTGGACTCGATTCCAGAACAGGGTTCCTTCCCTTAGATTTCCTAGGGTCCAAGTCCTCCTCTGAGATTGTGGTGATCCTCCCTTGTAGCAACCATGAAAGCCCAGGCGACAAGGGCTCTGATATCAAAACCTGTATCTTGGTGATGCTTTCTCTGCTCTTCTCCCTGTCATTGCAAAATAAAGCAGAATTATAATATACTTCCTTGTTGAAGATTTATTTCCCTTAACACCAATGGTTCCAAAGTTTGTTGGTTGGATTTTGACTTCACAAAATATGTTTCAATTTTGAGATACCTGCAATCCCCATGAGCCTCTCTCTCTCTTCTTACAGAAGAATCCAACAGTAATTTGGCATTGAGGTACTCAGGTTCTAGCTGAGAACGGATGCCCTCTTTCTGATTAGCAAGTGAAAGGAAAGCACCTGGTCTCATACATATTGTTTCACTTCATTGACTACAAGCCCCATCAAAGTGCTCTCTCCTCGCCTTTTCCTGTCCACACTACGTTCCATCACCTTGTCCCTCTGGTTGGTCCCTCAGGTCACTCCCTTCATTCCTTGCCCCACAGTTCACCCTGAATTACCAGCTAAAGAACTATATTCATGGCAAATCTAAGGAAAACCATGTTTTACAAGAGTATGGATTGTTTGATTTGGACTTAGGACTGCCTTCCTGACCAAGCAACTTAATCTGACAGCATGTCTCCAGGGCATTAAAACAGAGAATAATTTTTCTCAAAAGAAATCCTGAAGAAATGGTGCAAATGCAGACAGGTATGCTCATAGAGATGTATATCACAGTAATCTGCATGACAGGGAGACATCAAAAGCCTTCGAGCAGGTCAAAGGAAGCATCATCCCACAGTCACCACAAAGTGCAAACGTCTTTTCTTTTTTTTCAATGTATGTGCTCTATTATGCTTTTCATAAAACAAGTGGGAAAAACCTCGACCACCACTGGTGAGTAAATTGCTG